AATGTCGTCGCTTGTATTTTTTTCTAGCTGGTTTATGTAGTTCATTAAAAACTTGAATCTTAGACATTTTTTTCTAATGGACATTGAAAAACAAAATCAGCACACATTTTATCTGGTGTTCCCAGTTTAAACTCGACTTTATCATCTTCATTAATGTTAATTCCTTTTAATTAATGATATTTATATGTTTTAGAATTTAGTAAAATATCTCCATCAGCACTATAGTGTTTACAACTTTCAATTTTACCCGATAAGGGAAAAACAAAAGCAGTACCTTGATTATCCAAAATATAAAAGTCTTTATTATATTTTATTCGTTTTACACCTCTTAATCTGATAAAACATTTACTATGGAATGAAACTGGCTCACAAATATAAAATGGTGAAGTAAAATTTAAAACATTAGTTTCATTGCTTTGATTACACAAAAAGTGACCTCCGAATTTGTTGATTGGCATTGTCACACTAATTAAAACTTTAGTGGGTTCACATTATTATACCCCCTTCTCTCAATTCCTCAATGATTGACACAATCTCGTTATTATTACCTGTATTTCCTGCAGTTTGGGATGCTACAAGTAATCTAAGTCGATCAATCAACTCATTGTAATTATCAAAATATTTATAATCAATAGGTTTATTTGAATATTGTAACATTCCTTTTCCAATTTTTTTATTCCTTGACATTATTCCACTCATTAATGAAGATGGTATTGATGAAACTCTCCGTCTAAACGGTCCTGTTTCTAACTTTGGTTTAATAATAAAATTATATTTATCCTTAATATCCCTAGAAAAATTTTTAATTGGTAAATCTGGATCATTATTTCTTCTAGCGGCATTGGTTCTTTTTATTATATCCACATATTCATTAACATCAGTTTGTTTATATGCAATCGGTTCTTTTAAAAAGAGTAATTCATAAAGTCCAGGTGTTCCGGGATATTTAACACCTTTTATTACAATATCAGAACCATCAAAGTTTAATTCTGAGTCTCCAATACGAAATTTTTCGGTTTCTATATCATGATAAATCCCCAAAACGTGATCAAATTTATTTTCGATATCTGAAATATTTCTAAGAATATAATCTCTAGGTAATGGTGCTGTTAATTGATCCATATATTCAACGAATGAAGGAGGTGGGTTTGTAGTTAAATTTTGCAGACTTTTAATTGTATCATCTATATATTCATCAATTTGCTCATCACTGGTTCTAGGTTGATATTCAAACGTTTGATCTGGTTGATTTTCATAAATCTCTGATTCATTTAAATGAGTGCTTTCATGTTCTGGAACATGTTTAATTGTTTGACTTACTGGGGATGGAAAAGAAGAATATGCTATTTTATTATAATCTTTTCGTGGAGGTTTACGCAAGAAACTAAACTTTTCTGATTTCGGTGTTAAATTTTCTTGTTTAATTATTTCTTGTTTCCCCGAAACTGAAACCAGTTATTTAAGGGGGTCTGATATTGGTTGATATGTTTTTTCCAAATCAGTTTGTGATTTTGTTATATCACTTTTCACTTTTTAAACTTTTGTATTTTTTTTTCAAATCTTGCCTAGCTTTTATTAGTTGTTTAGTCAGTTGAGGATTCATTTTGACTAAATTGTTTGAATAATAAATTTCTTTATATACTTATAAAAGTGTCGAAATTTTTTCTAAATTTACATTTTGAATCCTTATCAATAGTGAGGAAATCATGTTTTTTTTTTCAACAAATTGTGCACATGTTTATAAAATCTTTAAAAGATATCGATATTAACATGATCATCGTAAATGTATTTCAAATTAGTCATATCTTGTTGAAAAATTACTAAAAGATTCGAATTATCTCTAATAAGCTGTTTGGGGATTGCACTATATGTCTGACAAATATAAAAACAATCTGTGTGTTTATGTCGACCAAAACAAAAATAATTTTGGATAATCTTTTGATCACAAGAAGGTACATCATCAAATATAATTAACGAATTTTCTTTAATTTCTTCTGGTCTAATTATATCTTCAGGTTTACTATATTCCTTATATCCAATTTCTCGAATAGGTTCCAGCAAAGCACGTAAATATCTATATTTGGGTTGATGAAGACTTTTAGAATACACATATAAATTTTCAAAACTTAATCCATTTGGGTGCTCAATTAACGAGAGCATACAGTTTGTCTTTCCACTTCCGCTTGGACCACCAATTAAACATCTTTTAGAGTCACCACCAAACAAAAAACCATGTTTTTAAGTTTTTCATCATTTACAACTAAATCATGATTTGTTACTGGTAAGATCATGTGCTGTTTTTCAATCTTCATTTTAATGAATCCTACAGAAGACTGAGAGTATATATAGTGGGGAGTAAGTATATAAATAGCACAATGGTTAAACGCCAGCGACAGAGTGATAAAGGCATAATCCAATTAGACGCTGCTTGCAAAAATCACGATATTGCATATTCACAAAGTAAAGATCTCAATACTAGATACCAAGCCGATAAGATATTACAACATAGAGCTTGGGAGAGGGCTAATTTGAAAGACGCTAAATTAGGAGAAAAAACAGCGACTTGGTTTGTAACAACGGCGATGAAAGGTAAACGCAAACTTGTAATGGGTATGAAAAAACGAACAAGAAAAACTAAAAAGAAAATTATTCGAGTACCGAAAATAGGTGGATTTTTACTTTACTACTTCCTCTTTTATCAGCTTTAGGAGCTGTTGGAGGTATGGGTGCTGGTGTTGCAAAAGCAGTAAACGATGCTAAAGCTAACCGCATACAACTGGAAGAACAAAAACGGCATAATTTAGCTATGGAAAAGAAAGGCCAGGGTTTAAGTCGTAAAAAAAAGGGGAAGGGTTTATATTTAAGACCATATAAAGGATATGGTATCATGTCAAAAAACTAATACTACCACAACGAGCGCTTACTGATTTAGATTTAAAAAAAATTGCTAAAATATTGCAGATTCCTCATTTTAGAGGAGTGTTTATGAGAGATTATTTACCTCGTACAATCCATAAAAAAGAGCGGTATTATAAATATGGATTCAAATATAGGACCTGGGACACATTAGACCGCATATACGAAACAAAATAAGGATGTTGTATACTTTGATAGTTATGGAAACTTAGCCCCACCATTAGAGCTGATTAAATATTTCAATAGCAATGGGGATATAAATATAATTTATAACTATGATAGAGTTCAAAGAAATTCTTACAAGTGCGGTCATTATTGTTTGAGTTTTCTATATAATCAATATAATTAAAAAAAGTTTTCATTCTGAGACATTTCTTTGTTGTGTAAATATGTCTTTTTCATTTACTTTAAGTGGTAACTCTTCAATTTTAAGTTACGATTTTAACCCTCCAATATATTTAGATGAAAATACAGATTATGAAATAGGATTAGTCAGTTTCAATAGTTTTAACACAATTCCAAATATTGATGAAAGCAATAATTTATTTGTATGGGGTGATAAAAATAAGCTAAATGAATTTAAAGTACCGGTTGGTGCTTATGAGTTAGATGATCTTATAGGTGTTTTAAAGAAACATATGAATGATAAAGATAAAAATGCTAAAATAGATATAATACCGGACATAAATACTTCAAAAATTTCTATTTCAAGTAATGGTATTATTTCTTTTAATAATGCAAATTCAATCGCACAAGTGTTTGGTTTTAATGTCCAAAGGCTTGATCCTGGTAAAACTTATTCATTAAATTATCCAGTTAAAATTGTGAAAGTAAATTCTATAGGTATTGACTGTAGTATTGCTGCTGGTTCCTATTTAAATGGGAACCCTGTTCATATTATAGACCAATTTTTTCCGACAGTACCCAGCGGGTATAAAATAGTAAAATCTCCTTAAAATATCTTGTATTATCCTGTCAGTGTCAAGACAATCAACAACATTACAATAAAGATTATTGACCAGAGCGGTGGTCTCATAAATTTTCGAGAAGAAGAGATTACGGTTACCCTTCACATTAGAAAAGTATAAAATGGTTCTATCATTTTTTCATCCACTTAAAAACTATAAAAGATTGTCCCTCCAGAACAGACAAATCAGTTTTGCAAAACCCTTTGCAATAATAACACCCATTAATAAAAAAATTTTAACTTCGTTAGGATTTAAAGTATTAATATAATGGAAGTACTTCATGTAACCGGGCAACCTTTTAATGATACAACTATAGATGATTATCAATTTCATACCTATCAACCCTTCATTACTGGAAAACTCAATTATAACGATGAAATTCGAATCCCCATTCAAGATTTAGATGCTTACACATTGCCATCAAAAAGTTATTTGTATATTGAAGGAAAGTTGCTTAGTGATGCTGGAAAAGTACCAACTAAACTACAATTTATTAACAATGCCATAGCATTTTTGTTTCGTGAACTCCGTTATATGAGCTAAACAGTGTCGTAATAGATTTTGTAAGAGATGTAGGTCTTGTATCGACCATGAAAAATTATCTGAGTCTTAATGAAAACGAAAGTGTACTAATGCAAAATGCTAAGTGGTTCCCTAAGGAAATTAAAAAACTTGTGGCAGATTCTAAAGGTGTTGTAACAGTAGAGACAGAAAAAATTTTAGTTGATAAAGATGGAAACTTTAATGTTTGCATTCTCTTAAAAATGTTATCAGGTTTCTTTGAAGATTTTGGTAAAATAATTATGAATATGAAACAAGAATTAGTATTAATTCATTCCAGTGATGATATTGATGCCATAATAAGTTCTGATGATTCTGAAAAACCAAATGTCGAACTTCGTGCACTCTCCTGGCATGTCCAACATGTCACCCCTGGTATTAGTCAACAACTTCGACTAAATAAAATTGTTCGGAGTAATAAAGAATTACCAATTAAATTCCGTTCTTGGCAAATGATTGAATATGCTTCAATTAATAATTCCACTAGACATACTTGGGCTGTTAAAACAAGTACAAAAATTTCAAAACAATAAAAAAGGTCAAATCAAACACAATATGAGTACATTTGATCATTGTAAACTCAACAACATCCGAGTATTTCTAAACTCGGATAGATATCCATACCACGATTTAAATTTAGATTTTACCAATAATAAATATGCTACATTATATGATATGTTTGCCAACTTTCAAGAAAGTTATTATCACTTTAATTTAAATCAACCAATATTTAATCTACAAGAGTTTAAAGAAAAAGCACCCTTAGTATATATCGATTGTTTAAGACAAAAAGAAGTGATTAAATCCGGAAGCATTGTTCTTAGAATTGAATTTGAAACTGATGAGCCCACGTCAACGGATATATCAGCATTTTGTCTCATATTACACGAAAAAGAATTTTCATATAATCCTTTAACAAAAACCGTAAAGCAATATTAATGCGCATGTCTCAAACTTAATATAAAACACATCCTTCATAGTTAATAATTTCATTTAATATGTCCGAGTATGAAGAGAAATTTCAAATTTATTTAAAAAAACTGCTAAAACTTAAAAGAGATATTGAATTGTACGAATTTGTAAAACTACTTGGAAAACTAAAAAAATATATTGAATTGTACGAATTTGTATAACTACTTGAAAAACTAAAAATATGAGACTCGTTGTGGATGTACAAGGATTTAGGCTAGAAAATAATAAATTTCTTGTAAAAGAATTTGCTGCTTATGATGGTTTTCGCATAAGTCATTATGTATTCAAGCCGCCCTTTCCTCTTAGAATACTCTCTCCAGATTTACATAGGCAGGCTTTATGGTTAATGAAAAATTATCATTATATTAATTGGGAGGAAGGTTTTACTCCTGTACACCAATTTGAAAATATCTTACAATCTTTAACAAAAGGAGTTGATATGGTTTACGTCAAGGGTATGGAGAAAGCAAATTATATAAAAAAAAATTCCCTAGTTCCAGTTTATGAGTTTGATGAGCAACCAGCACTTCAACCAATGAAGCCCAAATGTTTTTATCATAATAATATTAATTGTATTTGTGCTGTATCAAATGTTTTTTTTTATATGAAAGTTTTATAATGGAATAAATTTGAAAAATTCTAAAATGTTTTATTTATAAATATACCTAACATTAGGTTTGCTTATCAGAACCAACATGTGCGCCGATGATTACTCACACCTATTGCAATTGTTTGATCATAGATTAGAGTCTTATGAAAATTGGACTGGTGATGTATCTCCAATAGATTTAGCATTAGCTGGATTACACTACATGGGCAAAGAAGATATAGTTAGATGTTTTAAATGTGATATTAAGGTTTACAAATGGAAATCAGATGATGTACCAATTCTCGATCACTTGAAATTTAGTCCAAATTGCAGCTATGCTAGAATGATGAAGTCATGTCTACCAGCAAAGAATAGAATAAATACGTTTTTTGTAATAAGTGTTATACCATTAATATTTAGCATAATTTATTACGCTGTGTTAAATAATATATAAGCCCTTCACACTAACGAATAAAGTCATTTACATCATGGGAGTGACACAGTTTATAATTTTACAAGCCATCCTAGGCAATTACCTCTTGATTCAACACCCTTTTAATACCAGAGAAGTGTATGTATGTTTTGATAGTAATGGGACAAGAGATGAGAGTTGGCCTTCTAAGTGGGTAAAAATGGATGCAGTGTCTGTATACTCTGATTTTCACTGGTTTTTTAATAAAGGTGTTTTTTATATAAAAAACGTTTATTTGCAGTTTACGTCGCCTGAACGACAGACATAATAATAAGTGATACACATTTCTTTTCTAACCTTAAAATACATAAAAAAGTCAAACAAAATATAGGCGTTGTTGCCAAACGTTAAATAAAATAAAGTGGTATTTAACATATTCCCCCCTTTGAAAGGGTTTACACTTTCAAAAAACAAACAAAATGTTCTTTACAGAACCAAAAAAAAAATAAATAAATTCGTTAGTCAATAGGAAGAACACAAATATTGTTAATTGATCGTCTAAGAACACTCTGACGAAGCTTTACATCCACTACTCGGCAGATACCGTCCAGACCTGGAAAAAGTTTAACCACGCGTCCCAATTTCCAGTCCAAGGTTATACCACCATCTTCTTTCACTAGCACTAATGAACCCACCTTAAGTCTAGTTTGGAAAGTCTGCTTCCACTTTGTTCGGATTTGGAGTTCATTCAAGTATTCCTTTTGTCAACGCTGCCAGTAATGCTGAATAATAAAACTAATATGTTGCCACTTTTTTAGACGATTTTCCGGAATATTGGTAACATTACTTTCTGGTACTGCCATCAAGTTTTTTCCAATGAGGAAATGGGCTGGTGTCAGTGCTGTTAAGTCCGCTGGGTCAGGAGATAAGGGACATAAGGGACGGGAATTGAGGATTCCTTCAATTTGTATGAGCACTGTATTAAATTCTTCATATGTAAATAAAGTATTATTCATTATACGTTTCAGATGATACTTTGTACTCCCACAACCCACCAAAAGTTGGACTTTTAGCAGGAATAAAATGCCAACAAATTCTTTCTAACGCTAGTTTATTACCAATTTCAGTAGACTTATGCCCTAAAAATTCATATATTTCTTTTAATTCATTATTCGCCCCGACATAGTTTGAACCATTGTCCGAGTATATATTAGCAGGCTTCCCCCTTCTAAAAATAAATCGATTCAGAGTGGCGAGGAATGCTTCAGAGGTTAAGTCCGAGACGAGTTCGATATGCACCGCCTTTGTAGCCATACATACAAACAAACATATATACACCTTGACCAATTTAGCACCCCTAGTCCTGCGATCCTTTATTAAAAAGGGACCACCAAAGTCAGTACCCACATTTAAAAATGGAAAACTTTCAGTTACTCTAACCGTCGGAAGATTACCCATTAAATATTCTTTATTGGTAGGCTTGGCTTTAAAACAAATAACGCAATTTCTTACCACTTTTTTACAAATATTTCGTCCACTTATAGGCCAATAAGTTTCCCTAGCAGTGTTAAGTAACAGTTGAACACCGCAATGCAATAATTTTTTATGAATATTTCTAAGTATGACATTTGTCAATAGATGAGAATGAGGTAAGATAATCGGATGTTTGTTTTCATAAGAAAGATTAGAATTTTCTAGCCTACCCCCTACTCTTATTATATCATCTTTAATGATTGGATTTAAAGATAACAGTTTACTTTTCTTACTGATTTGTTGCCCTTTTGACAACTGATTATATTCTTGTGGATAACTTTCCATCTGTGCATGTTTAATCAAAATATTCGTGGCACGTTGTAGTTCATGGGGTGAGAGATTATTTGTAATTCCTGAATTAGAAACTATTTTACTTTTTAATTTTATGTTATTTATAAATCTTAAAACGTAACAAAGAATTCGTATCATTTTTTCAAAACAAGAATGATTTGTTATAAATATTGTCAAAAAATTATCAGTATTTATACAAGAGCTATTTACAGAAAAAGATCTTTGTTCAGGAATTTCGGTTTTAACTGGTTTCTCCATAAGATCCCATGAAAAGTTATCAGAATAAAACCAAGGAGGTCCGTGAAACCATAGGTCATTTTTTAAAAGTAATTCGGGAGTTGCACCTCGTGATAACAGGTCAGCTGGATTATGAAGTGATTTGACGTGATGCCAGTGATTTATATTGGTTAGGGATTGTATTTGACTTACTCTATTACCTACAAATACCTTCCACCTGCTGCTATCTCCTCTAATCCAGGCTAGCGTTATGGCGGAGTCAGTCCAATAAAATATTTTATGAAAGTTTATTTGTAAACAGTTTATTACCTTATTTGTTAAATTTGATAGCAAAACTGCCCCACATAACTCTAACCTAGGCAAACTAATCATTTTCTTCGGAGCTACTCTGGATTTTGCACATAATAAATTAACAACAATTAATCCTGCTGAATTTATGCATCTTATATATAAACATGCCCCATAAGCTTTTATCGAACTATCGCAAAACCCATGCAACTCAATCTTTACATATTCAGAATTTACAACTAAACGTGGAATTTTAAACTCTTTTATTAAATATATTTCAGATAAAAATTTTGACCATTTAGAAGCCAACTCATTTGGTAACTCACTATCCCAAGTTACACCTGAACTCCATAAGTCTTGCATTATCAATTTGGCAATAACTATAATTGGTCCCAAAATTCCAAGTGGGTCAAATATTTGACATATTATTGATAGTACACTACGTTTTGTCATTTTATTTGGTACGCTAATTTTACTCAACTGATAGCAAATAGTATCTGCATTTGGATCCCAAAAAATGCCTAATGTTTTATTATGTTGAGTTTCACCTATATTTAATATGTTTACCTCTAAATTTTCATCTACTTCAAATTTATTTAAAAGATACTTGCTATTAGACAACCACTTTCTTAAAGGAAAGCCAGCACTATTTAAAATCAATGAAATTTCCTTCTGAAATTGTAACATTTCTGAATATGTATTGGCACCAGTTAGCAAGTCGTCCATATAGAAATCAGATTTAATTATTTCACAAGTAAGTGGAAATTTATCTTTATTTTCATTAGCTAATTGCATCAAACATTTTACAGCCAAATACGGAGCAGACGCTGTTCCGTATGTTACTGTTTTTAATTCATAACATTGTAAGTCACTAGTAGGTTCTGATCTCCAAAAAATTCTTTGATATTTTAACTCATCTTCGCTAATTAATATTTGCCTATACATTTTAGAAATGTCAGCTGTCATGACATATTTGTGCTTTCTAAATCTAGTTAAAATTGAGAAGACATCTTGTTGTAAGGTTGGACCACTAAATTGCACATCATTCAAAGATAGACCCGACTTTGTTTTTGCAGACCCATCAAATACTACTCTGCACCTTGTAGTTCTACTATCTGTCCTTATAACAGCATGATGTGGCATGTAAAAACAATCGGTATTTATATTTCCATTTTCTTGAATTTTGCTCATGTGTCCCAATCTTTCATATTCATTTAAAAAATCCTTATAAGCATTTTTTAACTCCTTATCGTTATTTAACTTTCTCTCAAGACTAAAAAATCTTTTTAAAGCCTGTTCTCTAGATTCTCCCAAGTCACGAACATTATTTTTAAAAGGAATTTTTACAATGAACCTACCATTACTATCACGTGTCATTGTTTTCTCAAAATATTGTTCACAGTAACTTTCTGATAGTGAAAAATTTTGTTTATTATTGTTAACTTCTTCAATATTCCAAAACTCAAAAATTTTATCATCAAGTGCCTTAGTTTCATTGACATTCAAACAATTTAAAAACATAATACAGTTTGAAGTATTTAAACTTAAATTACCTGATATTATCCACCCTAATACACTATTTTGCAAAACAGGTAAATTTTCTCCCAATTTTATTTG